GCGGCTTCTCCGCAGCGGCAGGTGCACTCGACGTTGCAGGGCTGGGTGCCGAAATTGCCGTGGATTCGGATGCGGGCCCCTTTCCGCGCATCTTGTGCTTGGCGTCTTTCTGGGCCTGGTTTGGCGCAGCTCCCTCGGCTGCCGCGTCGGGCATAGCAGAGTCGCCCCCGTCCTCGACAGGGCCACCCGAGTCCTTGACATCGGAGTCGTCCCCGAGGATCTCCTCGCCATCGTCCTCCTTGTCCTCCTCTTCGCAATCGGTGCTCCTCATGCCCATGTGGCCGTCGGCGGGGGTGTCCTGCGCAACTTCATCAAACTCGGCCAAGCTGAGTTTAGCTGCCCATTTGTTCGAAGGCTTGAGCTTCGCCTGCCCGGTGGCACTGGCAATGCTCTTGTTTCGGTCTGGCATCTTCCAATCGAAGTCGTCTCCGTCGGCGGTGCTCCATTTTTCCCAGGGGGCGCGCTTCTCTTTAACTGCGAGGGCCAGGGCATTTCTCACTTCAGACATGGACCACGAGAAGGAAGGCCGAATGTGACTCACCTTCGTCCACAGATCTCGCTGGGACAGAATATGGTTGCATTTCGTCCAGTCCTTGCCAGTGGCCCCCTTGAAAAAAGATGGCACTGTCGCGAACTCAGACAGCGCTTTCCCAAGAGCCAACACATCTGCTGCTGTGGATGCGCCCGCAGCCTCCGCCAGGACGGGCGAAGTCGGTCGCCCACGAAAAGGCCGCACTGGGGGCCCTGACCAAGAACACCAGCTTGAAACAAAACGGCGACGGTTCGGAGGAGCTTGCGAGACGAGCAGGGGGCCTAAGGAGTCGCACGGCGCATCGTGAAGGCCGAACAGGCATGCTCGCAAACAGGAAGCCCTCACGCAGCCTTAACCCTCGCGCTGAAGCGTTTAAATCATCAGATACACCTCCGAACAACACTCGGACATAATGCGATGGTCTCACTTGCGAGGACATCTCAAGTGAAATTGCGATTTGAAAGACGGGCCGCGCTCCACCTGTGTAACTGTTGGACTTGATCACCTTTGCCCCTCTCGGCCCCGTGCCATGCATGTTTGGGCGTTTGTTGGATATGAACTAGATGCGAAGAAAATTTGAGATGAAGATCGAAAGCTGTGAATGTGAATCGGATTAGATGATCTGAACGATGTTTTTTATGAAGATCGAAACAGGATGATCCTGTGATCCTGAGGATCCCCTGGGAAAGGGCAGCTGGGCCGGCCGCCGGCCCGTGCCGGCGCCGGTCGGCCCGGTCACTGCCCGAAACTGCCGGCGAGAACTGCGGGGCTCGGCCAGGCCCCCCCTGCCGCCCCTCGGCCCTACTGCGCGGGGCGGCGACGACGACGACGACGACGACGACGACGACGACGACGACGACGACGACGACGACGACGACGACGACGAGGGGGCCCTCCCACGGGGATACTTCGGAGACGCCCCCTCCGTCAGACCCTAGGAGAAGACCTAGGGTAGGCCTAGGGGTAGGCCCAAGGGGCTGGCCTGGGGTAGGCCTTGGGGTATGCCCTGGGGGTAATCCCTATGGGTTGGCCCTTGGGGTAGGCCCAGGGGTGGGTGGGCCCTCAGGGTAGGTCCGAAGGGTAAGCCTTCGAGTAAGCCTATGGTGGGCCTGGGCGTAGGCATTAGTGGTGAGCCTAAGGTGGGCCCTCGGGGTAGGCCCTAAGGGTAGGCCTGGGACAGGCCAGGGATAGGCCCCAGGGGGGTGGGCTAGGGTAGGCCTAAGAGCAGGCCCTAAGGGTAGCAGGCCTAGGGGTAGGCCCTAGGGGTAGACCCAGGGTAAGCCTTGGGGGTAGGCCTAGGGCCTAGGGTAGACCTTCCCTGGCTATTCTATATATAAGCAGGGCTGGGCAGCCCCCGCCCCAGGACCGGCGCTTGCGCCCCAGCCTGACATGGGAGCTGTCCGCGGCACCTCAGGGGCACTCAACCCCAAGACAAGGGCGCGCGCCCCTGCCCGACATGGGACCGCCCGCGGCTTTCTCACTCCAGCCGCGCGCCTTTTCGCGGGGGCACTTCCCTTGCCAACGCCGCGATATCGTGGGAAGCCTGCCGTGGCGCCTCGGCGTCGTCGTCAGGCTGAGCGCCGACAACCAGCGCCATGACCTCGCGCTGCCCCCCCCCCCCCCCCCCCTCGCACCCATTCCCCTGGAAGTTTTTGCAGGCCGTCTCCACCAAGAGCCAAGGCCGTCTCCCACGCGGCGTCCTCGGCGCAGCTCTCCACGTGGATGCCCAAGAGTCGCGCGGGGTCGTCGCGTCGTTTCCTCCGGTCCGTATCCTCTATCCACCCGAACTCCTTGTCCGAATCGTCGTCGTCGCGCACCCCGTCCAATGCGCGGTCGCCCCCGCCCCCGACCCCGAACTCCTCGCCCGAGACGCCACCCTCGTGCACCCCGCCCGGCCCTGCGCGCCGTCGTCGCCCGCCCCCTCCAGGATCTCGCCGCCCCCGGGGTCCTCCGACTCAACGTCTTCCACGCCGCCTTCGACCGAGACGCCCTCCTCCTTCGCGCCCTCGCCCGCGCGCCCCCATTGACCCGGGCCCCCGAAGCCGCCGGGGCCGCCGATGTGGGGGGGCACGTGCTCGCTGCTCTCCGCGCCGACGTCGCCCTCCCAGCCCTCCTCCTGCACGGGGCCCTCGTCCTCCACCTCTTCATGTTGCCTGCGGGGTCCACCTCGCGCAGGCCCTCGAACGCTGGCCGAATCGCCCCCAGCAGCTCTCCATCGCCCCCTGCCCCCCCAGGCAGACGTGTTCGGCCGCGCCCTGCGCAGTGGGGGGTTGGGCGCCAGGTTGTCACGTCCCAGCGCCAGCAGGCACCCACGGGCGGCGCCTCTCGCGGCGCCTGTCGCACCTCAAAGCAGTCTGCTTCCTGCAGCCTGCACAACAATGCGGGGGGTGCTGAGGCAATGCGCTGCCCCCTGCCGTCCGCATGCAGCGCCGCGTTCCTCCTCGGGACCTCCTCCGCCGACGACGCCATGCCCCGCAACAGAGCCCAGAGGGCTCGGACAAGCGCCGCGACGCGGTCGGCCAGCTCCAGCTCCCCCGGGATGGCTACGTAGGCCTTCTGTACGGTCTTCAGCTGGCCGCGCAGCGTTCGGACCTTCGACTTGGCTGCAGCCAGGCCGTGATCCACCGGCATCAGCGCCCGCCGCCGCACCGCCATCCGCTCCGCCCGTGTCTTCCTCGGCCCCAGCCTTCGCCGCCAGGCAACCCTGCCTGCGCCACCTTGCTCGCGCCGCGCGCCCGTCGCTCAGAGGTCGCGACGGAGCCGGCTTGAGCCAAAATGATGAAGGGCGCAATTGTAGTGCTGATGCTGCGCATGCTTATGATGAACATGATGGTGCTGCTGCTGCTGCTGATGCAGACGATAGCGATGATGATGCTGACGATGACGATTACAATGAAAAGGCGGAAAGATGATAGTGATGTTGATGCGGGTGACGATGAGGATGATGAGTGCCATGATGGTGGTGGTGAGGATTGCGATGATGATGTTGCTGCTGGCGATGATGGTGCTGATGCGAATGGTGATGAAGATGATCATGCTGCTAGTTGTGATGGTGAGGATGATGGTGACGATGGTGACGATGTGGCCTCGTGCAAAATTCTGACGAGGGCGAAGACGTCGACACGGATGGCAAAACGGCGGTGGCGATGATCTCAACAATGATGATGCTGATGATGGTGATGTTGATGATGATGATTGTGGTGGTGGTGATGGCGCTGACGACGGCAATGGTGACAGCGACGATGACAATATCGAGGGTGCTGACAATGACAACGACGATGACGATAACGGTCAGGACGAGTAGACCACGCGCGCCCGCCAGCATTCAAACACCCTCACACATTTGTATTGCATTCAAATGTTTGTGATTTCGCACACCTGTGCTGAACTTGATATGAAACCAATGGTTCTGAACGAATGTGACGTGCGCGCGGCGGGCAAGAGTGTGAGGCCCGAGTGGTAGTTCTGGCAGGGCTGAGCGGCCCGATGGTGCTTGAACGTCTTCGGCAGGCGAGCGCAGGTGGCTCACATGGTCTTCTTTTGACAGAACAGCTACAAACCCATGGACTCATAATAGCTCAGCGGGTGAACGCGCGCAGAGTTCCAACAAGCCAGCTGTTGGAAAACCAATGGCTGCATCTAGTTTGTTTGGCAGCCATGCCTTGGATTTGGTTGCTGTATTGTTATTGGCGAAATTTGATGTGCGCGCGCGGCGGCGCACGCATGTGCGCCGTAATGAATATTCGGCAAGGGTGCATGAGCAAAAACACATTAGGCCAGCTTGGCGAGCATCGGACATTTCAAATCTCGGGTGGGCAATTGCGCATAATGTAGTTAATGTAATCACGGCGTGCGGGTAAATCTGGCATCGAAGGGAACGTCTATCCGAATGAACTTCTTGAACGGCGAGTGCCTGTGGTGCAAGCTACGTGGTGCATGCGATGTGGCATACATGGTGCGGTGCAAGCTGTATGGTACAAGCTATTCGGTAAAAACTAGTTGGTGCAAGCGGCCGCCCAGCGCACCAGGCGCCCACGAGGCGTCCACGAGCGCCCACGGGCGAGCACCAGGCGAAGTGTCGGCTGACCCACCCAGCGCACGCGTCGCGCACGAGGCATCCGCGGGCGGGCACCAGGCGAAACCTCGGCTGACCCACCCAACGCACGAGGCGCCCACGAGGCGCTCACAGGCGGGCACCAAGCGACACCTCAGCTGACCCATCCAACTCCTCGGGAAGAGAAGTAAGAACCCCTAAGTGCCTAAGTGCAGGCACTGCATGGCAAAGCAGCTGAAACAAGCCAGCTCAAAGGCCTGCGCTGATTTCATGCATCGGCGCTGGGCCTCCCTCCATGGCACGCGAATCGCGCCAGGGGCGGCGCCAGAGGCGCCGCTAGGGGGTTCAGGGCAGATTCCAGAAATCCGCACGGGCCTCCGAAACTGATGTTTATGCAGACAGTTGTTATTCGGT